AACCTTCCCACTAGACCCCAGGCTAGACCCAGTCAGGGAGACAGGCGAGGTGATACGCACTCCCAGGAAACACAGATGAGCGACTCAGACAGCCCTGGCCCTTCCAGCACACATTGGTGTGTGCACAACACAAAGTTTTATGTGCACCTTGAGGGTGTGGTGTTCGTGTGTGATTCAGAAAGGGTAATGATTTTGTGTAGCTGGGAATGGGCATCGGGTGGGGGTGAAGGAAGGATGGGAGTAGTTGTGCTGGGTGGGCAGCATGGCTTCCTTTTTGCCTGTACCAGTGCCGTTGATCAGAAGCTCCTTATATAGAAAGATCAGTTTTTGTTTTTTTTTTCTTTTTGTGGTTACTGAAGACACCAAATCTTCATACAGTTTAAGGAAAAACAGTTCCCATAATGTGGTGGCTCACAAGCCTGTAACCCCAAATTTTGGAGTCTGAGATAGGGGGTTCACCCCTGAGTTTGAGGCCAGCATGGATATAGGGTAAATTTAGGTTAGCCTGGGCTAAAATGTGGCCCTGCCTCAAAATAGCAACAAATGTAGCACAAATAGAAGTGGCCTATAAACCAGGTGTGGTGGCCTGTGTCTTTAATCCCAGCGCTCAGAAAGGCTCTCTATGAGTCTGAGGCCAGCCTGGTCCACATAGTGAGTTCTAGGACAGCCAGGGCTCTGTAGAGAGACTCTGCCTTAAACAACAACAACAAAAATTTTCCCCACAGACTGATACTTCAAGTTCTAGAGGGAAAACCCTTAAATGACCATTTTAGTAGCATAAACTATTTTCCTTAAAAAATATTATTTGTGTATTTGTGTATATGTATACACACACACACACACACACACACGTGTTTGTGTGTACATGTGGAATTCAAAGATGCCTCTGACTCTGAGGCATTATTGTCTTCCAGGAAGCAGACTCAGGTTCCCAGGCTTGCCCATCTCACCACCTCTAAATCAGTCTCTGAGAGCTTCGTCAGTCTTGTAGCCAGATAGCAACGGCAATCTACTGTTGAAGTCTGTTGGACTCTCAAAAAAGAAAAAGAACAAACAGATTCATCAACAACTAAGCTGGGAAGGAATCAAAAGTGACTTCTAAACCTAAACAGGTCTCTGGTTGCTATCTCCTTTTCCTTACTGGTTCAGATACACGTCTCGGTGGCCTGCAGCAGTGAGCGGGCGTAAGACACTGGCTGGCACCGGCGACGGTGACATTTTGACCCCTTGTCCCGAACAGTTGTCTTGAGAACCCAGGTCCTCACCCCACCCCCCACTGCCACCCGCCCTGCTCCCCCTGAAAGGCTGTCTTTTCGGTCCTGGAGCCACCACACAGGATCTGCAGTGCCCAGGGTTTGGCAGACAGCAAGTCCCTGACAACTGGGAGCTGTTCACACTGGGACATCTGCAGACGAGTCAAACGGGCCAGGGCTCGGCCACATGAGGCACCCCCAAGACAATGCCATATTGTGTGGAGGAAAACACACCACCCTAAGTGTCCCGCTGGGCCAGGTCAGTTTCTGTCTAGTCAAGGCAGATGACAAGTTCTATAGGGAAATGACACAGCGTGGCAGTGGTTCCAGAGACCCGCGATGAAATTGGAATGCGTGTCTGGACCTTACTGCTCCAGAGTCCCCTGCACTGGCCCACAGTGACAGCAGACAGACCTCTGCTCTCTTCCCGGGTCTGGGCCCAGGCCACCTGGGCTCCTGCAAACAGCAGACGTGTAATTAGAGGATCCTGGGCTGGGCTGAGGCAGTACACAGGCAAGTCTGGTCCTGTGCGGGCCACCGTGGGTGCTCGTGCTCAGAGCTGGGCTCCATTACTCAGCCGGCTGCAGAAGCCGTCAGCTGGCTGCTGCTCAGCCAAGAATCCTGATCAGTGAGGGAGGACACTGTGAACAAGGACACTGCTTCATCCAAGAACACGAGGCTAGCCAGGAACTCAGAACAACAAAATACTGCTTCCTGTGTGCTGTGCCCGAGGCAGTGCCATGGCTAGGCCAGAGGAAGGCTTGGCACAGGCCACAGTGACTTACACAGGAGGGGAGGGGACAAGTCACGCCGTCCCAGGGGAAGGCACTGGCTAACCCTCATGTGAAGAGATCTATGGGCGGCCTGTGATTCCATGTTTCCTGACGTGTGGATGCTCAGTGGCTGCCAAGGAATGAAGGCACTGCCTGGATCTGCGAGGAGGATGTCATGTACATTCCTAACCACGGTTCCTTGGGGATGGCTTTTCCATTTAGCAGGAGCAGCAGGAGGGGGCAGATATGCCTGTCCCTGCGGGTACTTGCTTCAGGCTTCTGAGCTTGGGGTTCCTGGTAGGTGTCTGGACTCACAGGGTGAGAGATGACAACATGCCAGAGGCACGCTAAGCCACTAGCCTGACAGCAGCTCTTTCTAAGACAGGTGCCAACTAGTACTTGAAGCACATTCTTTCCCATCCATTCCCAGCCCCCCACTCCTTACCAAAACCCCACCTGCTGCCATGGGGCGGTGACTTTGAGTCACAGGGTTGCTCTGATGTAAGCTGAGGTAGAGAGAACCATACACAAGTATGTTCCCTGCTCCAAATTCCAAGCAGACAACACGGAAGCCAAGGGGAGCCTGTTGAAACGTGTGGTACTAGCAGATTCCTCGTGGCTCAGGTACAAGTATCTCGAAGTTTTGATCCATGCAGGTGAAAAGCGAGCATGCTCACACCCTCACAATAAATGGCGCCAGGCACGCCTGAGCCGTGTTTGTGTAGTTACAGGTAGTAAGAGGTGAGGCCAACAGCGCAGACAAACGGGAACTCACCAAGTTCCGCTCTCCTCCCCTTCCCCCTCAGAGCCCCCACACTGCTAAGCGTGGAATGACTCAGTCAGAGAACAGGGCCAGAACATTCTGTCAAATGACCTACACTGCAAAGAAAACAAGTCTTCAAGTGCAGTGTGTGTGTGTGTGTGTGTGTGTGTGTGTGTGTGCATGTGTGTAGAAAACTCAGAAAAATACCCAATTCTCTGGGCAAGATTAATTAAAAATGAACACTTTTTTTTTTTTTTTTTTTGGCTTTTTCTCCATCTCAGGTGTCAACCCTCAAGGCCCTGGCTGTGTGGAGGCTTCATGAAGTCTTCCCCAGAGCTCAGACAGCTCGAGCCAGCCAGCTTCAGCTCATCTCTCAAGAGCAATGAGTGTTCTAGGTCTATAAAACACTTAACAGAGTGCCCAAATCAGTTTCCAGTTTTAAAGTGGGGCCGAGTATCAGTTTGATTGTAACTTATATTTAAACATTATGCAGGTATTACAGAGATGTCAGTTTCCCAGTGCTGATAACTACATTAAGATATCATACAGGGCTGTAGAGAAGGCTCAGCAGTTAAGAGTACTGGGGTTCAGGTCCCAGCTCACAGCTGTCTGTAACCACAGTTCCATACTATCCTTTGGCCTCTCTGGGTACCAGGTACTGCATATATGTGATACACAGACACACATACAGGCAAAACACCCACACACATAAAACAAATTAAAAAAAGTAAACCTGCTTGGCATGTGGCTGGGGATAGGTGGGCAAATGGGTCTGGAGTGTTCTAGCAGTGTGCTATTAGTGTGGTGGCTGAGTACATTTCTCTGGCTAGGGAAAACTAAGAAGCTTATTCCCAGAAGTTCAAAGAAGACACATGAAGAAGGAAACTGAGTTGGAACTAATGTTAAGTAAATGCCCACGGCTCCCTGTGCCAGGCAATTGCTCAGCACTAAGACAAGGAGAGTAGGTCCCAACATCCCTGCTTGCAAGAGCTACGGCCTGCTTTGGAAAAGGGTGGTACACAGGTTGCCTCCATAGTCCTGTCATCCCAGAACTTTCAAACCCTTGTGACTCTCCATTCCCTGTGGTCACCCTGGTGTCAGCTCTGGGGCGTGGCCTGTAGTTTTCAGTGTGCCTGCTAATTTCACGTCTCTGAAACACAACAGCCACTGTCATCTTTCCTAAAACAAATCACACCACGTTCCTCCCCCACTTAGGCTCTTTTGAGTAGCACTCACTGCCCTTCCCATTGCACAGCCTCCTCCTGCCTGTGGCCTCAGCTTCTGGGACATGCCCAGCTTCTTTCTGCTTCCTGGCCTCAGACTCGCCTTCATCTGATAACACACCTTCTAAATCACTTACCTCCGACTCTCCACATAACTTCCAGGGGCAGGATGCCCTTCGGCCGCCTTCTTCACACTTCTAATCATATTGCTGTGAATTCAGGCAGGGGAGGGAGAGGGAGGGAGGGAGGGAGAGAGGCTCTCTTTTTCCGGGATCGCACATGTGGCTGGCTGCTGCTGTTATTGAATGAACTCCCAAGACAGACAGGGTCACCCAGCTCTGAAGAAGGTCCCTGGCAGATGGCAGTCTGCAGTGTTCTCTGTGATTCCCAAGCAGTGGAGAGTCCTTTAAAGGTTTTAAGCAAGAAGAGAAGCTTGGAAAGGGCCCAGAGTAGTCCAGACTCAGTCCTGGAGCTCAGAGAGGGAGTCTGTATGCCACACTCCTTTCCAGACCTCCTCTCCTCACGGTACTGTATTCACAGTAGCACCAGAATCACATTCACTTAATTGTTCTGGGCAAAAACAAACAGCCTGGTTTTACCACACATTTTATTTCCTTTCTTTCCTTGGGAGAGGGACTCAGGTGGCCCAGGCAAACCTCAAACGCTGTAGGTAACCAAAGATGACCTTGAACTCCTGATTCTCCAGGCCTGCCTCCCAGATGCTGGGCTCATGGCCATGTGCTACCGTGCCCAGTTTATATGCTAGCTCCTAGGGAACCAACCCAGGGTTTGTGCATGCTAAGCAAGCCCTCCAACGACCGAGCCAAGTTCTCAGCCCCCATACATGTTTATAATTGTCATTTAGAAATCTATAATAAGTTTCAACATGTATTAACTTCAAAGACTCTTTGTCATGCCTTAAAACTAAGACTTATCAGTTGCTTGAGACATCTTATAAGAGTTTAGACAAGACACATTATTAACGGTGTCATAAATAAGTAATATAACTTTATTAAAATGAAAAGACAATATCCAAAATAATGCAACAAAATGAATAAATCCTTCGTCCAATGCTGTACACACAGTGCAGAGCTCAGTGCATTTTTCTAAAGCATGTTTTAACCTTCATTTAGTTCACACTAACATACAGTAAGCTGTAAACAGCTCAAATAATGTCATTCAGCAATTTAAACTCAACAGCTTGTTGGGACATCACAGCAGGGTCCCTCTGTTAGCAAGCACCTTCTCTTTGTGCCTATCTGTACAAGATAAACCATCAGAGGATGTAAAGAGATGAACAAAGCTACTCGTCTCACTGAGTCTCAGGGCAGTGACGCAGCCAGCCGTGAGTTTTCAAAGCAGGAAGATGCTGAAGTGACCTCTGGCATTAAGACGTTCTGTGCTATTGGTCAGAAGTGTTTCACTTAAAAAGCAAACAATCCCCAGGAATACTGAACAGGAGCCAGCAACACAAGGCCAGCTTGTGTTGTACTTGTTTATTAAGTCTAAAAAACAAAAACAAGAAAACAAAAACAAGAAAACATACCATACACCCCACACAGTAACTCTCAACCATGTAGCTAATTGCTGCTTTAATCTATAAAACTCGCACCCCAACAATGACGGCCAGTGCGACTCCATCGTATACTTTCTTGAAAGCCTCTTGCTACAGCAGGCCATTTCAGTGGATGGGGAAAAGCAGGGACAGTATGAAAAAGTTATTCACCAATTCTGTCAGTTTTCAAGATATGAGATGTACACAGGTGATATAACATGGTCCAGAAACTGCTGTCCTTCTCCTCAACAAGACAATCCCAGAGCTGGAAGTGTTAGGCCATAGAAATGACTTCAACAAGATGGTACGGGCCTGGTAAAGAACATGCCTTGTCCTGTACGGAGAAGACTGCTGGGGGGGTGGGGGTGGGGCACACAAACTATATAGCAGGCCCGAATGCCAGGAATCTTTAAACCTAACAGATAGACAAATTTATAGTTTGATCTAACAATACTGCTTTCTTCCATTGCTCAATTTTCACACTATCAGGAGCTGTTTCTCCAGCTTGGTTTTACTTACCCTGAATATATATTACTCTAAGATAGTGACTAATTGGTTATCCTGCAGCTATGGTCTATGGTTACAGCACACATTTATACATAGGTATATAATATAGACAGATGTAAAAGCTCCCCCATTCTTCCCTTCTCTCTAGCACACACTTCAATTACACTTTTCCTCCTACGCTAAGTCAGGGACTCCCAGCTAAGAGCGCCTCGTGACTGCTCTAAGCCCGTGTCACTAAGACGGAGTCCAACTTCATTCCGCAACCTGACGTTGGAAAACCGGGAGTCATCCGCTCCACGTAACTTCTGCTGAACCATGACCCCCTTAGTTATGGAGAAACCACGTAGGATAAGTGTTTGCGCTTCACGTGACTTCCCACGTCCATTTTCATCCTGGAGGCCAGCTTTTCTGTGGCAGAGGTCATACCACAGGCAGCAGGCAATGGCTGAATGTGGGTGCTTGGGTTTGCTTCTTCTGCTTCCCTAAAGTACTTTTCATATTTGTCTAGGTACGGCGGTCTCTCAGGTAGTAGGTAATAATGCGTTGAACTGACCTTCTTCCCATTTTCAATAATGGGCAGGATGCAGGGAGCTCTGCCGGCAGACCCTTCACTGCCCTGTCTTTCCAGGGCTTTGCTGCTCACATACTTGGGGTCAGGGGCAAAGCTCTGTGTTGGGGGCATGACCCCATTGAGGTAAGATGGAAGGCTTTTAGGACTTGGGGTACGGGAGTTACTCCGTGACAAAGGTTCTCTTGGGGGGATTTTGGGAGGCCTATCTTCATCACTGTATGTGTTGGAGGTCACTTCTGCTGACCACCTTCTGTAGTCTGGCTTGGCTGGCCTAGGAGGTATGGGAACCCTGGGAGGGACCTCAGGCTTGTCTTCATCTGAGCTGGGAGAAGCTCTGTGTGTGTAGCTAGATATCCGGATGGCAGGCTTGTTAAATGACCCAGCTGGTCCTGAGTGAGACCTCCTTAATCTCCGATGGCTCTGAGGTGGGGGAGGGTTTGGATCTGGAAGAGCTCTGTCCTGGTCAGATGTGCAGCTGAGATCTGCTACGGAAACAGTCGGGGTGTCAAAATATGCATAGTTGATCTGTCCGCACCCACGGAAGCTTCGCCTGCCAGGGACGTCGTACTTGAAATCAGAAGGTGCACATTCCTCTAAAAGGAAATCTGTGTCTGAGCTGGTTAGAAACTCTACCTCACAGTCAGCCTCATCCAGAGACAGGTCTGCAGAGCTGGGCAATGGCGGGAGCGGCCGGGAGCCCCGATCACAGACAGCTGCGCAGGGGAAGGGGGAAGGGCAGGTCCTGATGGGTGTAAGTGGAGATGTGGGCGTGCAGACTCCATTCACTGAGAGTTTCTTAAAACCACACACAACTTGGTCCTCTCCTCGATGTCCCAAGCTGTCACTTGGGGGAATAATAAGAGGGGGCAAGCTTGACTTTGGGGACCGACCATATTCCGCCAAGAAGTGGCCGCTCAGCGGGGCAGACCGAGAAGCACACCCTGAAAAGGAACGAACACGTGACACTCAACGTGGGTGGCGCTACCCTTTGAGAGCCCAGGACCCCAGCCGGGGACACCTGACTGTGCAACCCTGAGGACAGCCGTGCAGCCAGCACAGTATAATTAGAGCCAGTAGGGGAACACACGTGATCCGGTTCAAAGAACAAATTATCTCTGCCATCTCTCGGACATGTGCTCGGCACACGCCCACACGTCCCAGGCAAGTTTTGTGACGTGTGCAAAATTCACAGAAGATGAACAGCGTATAATTTACATGAGTACCATGCTACACCAGGCTTGCCACTTACGACATGCGACAATACAAGGCATGCCGGGCATGAGTGAGATAAGGTGAGGCGAGGCCCTTCCTGCCGGCTATCATACTTGCATGAATGGACTCACTTGCAATTCACTCACCTGATAAGAGACTCTCGACAAAAACCTAGGGCACATGATGTTCACGTTAAAATACCTGCAGTTTTCTAGCCCTGCTTACCGTGTACCACTTGCACTTAACTGCTCTCAAATGTGCGTTAGTACCAGGAATACACAAGACATGGCGTCCTGCGTTGTTTAAAGCTAAGTCCGCAACACCTGAGTTAGAAAAGTCACACTTCCATGGTTCTCTTTAGAATCAGTGACTTGGGGTACAAGCAAGTTCTCTTAGGAAGCTGCGGCCACTAGGTGTCAGGCTGTTGTTGGAAACGGCCCAGGGTTCCTCCTCTAAAACCCACTGCTTGAGGACAAGGCAGAAGTAAGCAGCAGACTTCATACATACCGAGGGTTGTCAGGTGTTCCTGAGTCGGGGAGTTCAGGCTGTAGGCCATGGTTATTGGATCAATATTTATAAAGTTACTGAAAGCAAAGGAAAACATGGTCATAAGCAAGTATCATCGTCCTCTGTCGCTGTGGTATCAGGAGTGCCGTACAACACAGGGGCGTAGCGCTCGGGACTTACTTTTCAAAGTCACTGCGGCTGTCCCAGCAGGCCTTCATAGTCCCCAAGGCTTGGCCACTATGCAGAAATCCAGGTTTTAATGGGACTCGAATATCCTGAGCAGCAACTCCTGCTGCTGACATCATGCCTTACTCTGGGACGTCTTCAAATTTGTGAAGCCCAGGGTTTTTTTTTAAGTCAGCCAGTAGCTTTCATTTCCTGGGGAAATCAAGAAGAAATGAGACAACAGTCAAAATAATTCAGAAATTGAGTAGTCTATACTGCAGCAGAAACAGGCTAATTTTAGAGATGGGGGATGGAAAAGTTTGGTTATTGACTTTCTTCTCATGAGAATTCTTAAAATGTAGACAGCAAAACAATAGTTTTTGTAAACACTAACCTGACACTTGAAACATTTTTCACAGAATAAGAATCCACTGCCAGAAAAGCCAACCCTTGCTACAGAGCGTACTAGTTGCACAACAAATCACAATCGCTTTTCCAAGCCACAAAGCTCCCTCCAGCCCATTAACCCAACCTTCTACAGCATGCCTTCTATAGGAAGCGCAGCAGATCCCACCCAGTTTTCCTGAGCTAAGAAAGGAATTTTAAACCAGACATGGTGGTGTGTAACTGCAGTTCCAGGTCTTGGGAGCCTGAGGCAGGAGCATGCTAGTAGGCTCAAGGCCAGCTGGGGCTACACAGCAAGACCCGCCTTCCTCTCACCCACCCTCAGGAAAAACCAGTATTTTGGAAATACTGTGTTTCACATGCCGCGCTAACAGTCACTAATGCCCACACTCAAGAGATTCTCCACCTACCTGTCCCATAGCCTAACACTGATTTGGACTCTGTATTTCAGGGTTGGTCACAGAAAACACACTCTCCAGTTATTACTTGTCAAGAAAGACATAGTCATATATGAAGATACTAACTTCTATTATCGTGTAAAAATCAAGTTCTGCAAGATTACCAGCTTCAGTGTTAGCTCTGGACAGCTTCCTCCCTCCCTTTCAAAGACAAACTTAAGGGACATTCTTTACATTCTCCTTTGTGAAATGCCCAGTAACTCATGCCCCGCTTCCCTGTGAGGCATGGGTTACAAAGGCAGATGCATTTCTTAGACTGGTAGCCCCTAGACTTTAGAAGCCCCCCTTTATCAGCTGGGACAAATCTGAAGGCCCTGTCCGCCCATCCCGAGTTCCCTTTTTATGATTCGGTACTTTGCAGACCTCTGCTGCCTTCAGATGTCACATGCTCTTAGGAAACTCAGCCTTTCTCCTTTATAGAAGGCAGGATGTTAACTGTCAACTGCCCAGAACACAGGCCCCCGGAGATCTCCACACACTCACACTCTGCCATTAAATATTTGCACACGACCAAGTGCTGACACTGTTGAGTGAGGGTTAGACCAGGGCAAAGCTGCTGGCTGGAGGGGCTACACAGGTGGCTCCCTTTTATTATTATTCTTATTATTAAATTGCTTGGCAACTAAACATCTATTGTTTACAAATATCAGGCCTAATAAACTGGGGCTTCAAAACAAGTGGCCTTAACCATAGGTACCTGGCTCAACAAGTGAATGCTTATTGAGTTACCAACTGAATATAAACTATATGGAAAGCATAAGGGATATTTTTCTTTTTTAAGCTAATCTAAAAAATACTCCATAGCTCTTGACAAAGCCAGCTGTTTCAATGAGGCGGCAGTGATTTATAATATTATTTCAAAGAGTCAAACCTTATTTTTTTTTTTTAAAAACCAGTCTCTCAACGATACATGAGAAAAAAAAATCCACCACTTAAGAAACCTTATTAATGGGAGGTTTTTGAGTCTTGGTTTTTAGATTAGTAAAATGAAGCAGATATGTTATTTAGCATAAAGTAATAATATAAAAAACACATTTTAAGAAAGGCTAGCCTCTCCCAGTGTGTGTGTATCCAGGGTTTCTCAAGCCTCACAAGCACCAAGAGACTACCGGGAAGGAAGGGTCTGAGGTCATATAAGACTGAAAGGGAAGATGGACGGGAGACTGTGCTGGTTAAGTACCCTGAAAGCCACGCTTGAAGATGGTTCCTCCCGATTACAAGCCACTGCTGCGGGGGATTCTGAAGGCCCAGCCCCCACCTGTGGCAGGCCAACAAGTACTACTAGTAATTACTGTCAGCCTCCTAATGCCATCTACATCTTAGCTTTCAACAGAAGGATTGTGTAACTATCGCCTCTGCTCAAGTTGCTTTGGAATCCTAAACTTACGTTTCAGTGGTCACTTAAAATTATTTATATGTTGTAGAAAAAGTTATTTTTTATTCATTGTTTCCATCACCTACTTGTTAGCTTTCTTAAGGAAAAAATTTTTTTTTGTATAAAAAGAATTGTGTTCACTAAGCCAGCTCACTTCTGACCACAATAGTGTCTTTGTGTATTCATAGAAGGTGACCTGCCTCTAAATTTCAATGGGGAATTGTGAATGGGCCATGTTATGAAACTACCCCAACTTCCTACTTGCTTGCATGGCAGAAGCAAGGAGGGCAGTACATCTGCTCTGTTCTCATCTTTTGGAAAATAACTTCAGGCTGTAAAGCCCCGAAGAACAACATGCCACAGGTTTATGGTTCACACACACACACACACACACACACACACACACACACACTCACACTCTCTGTCGATTTTAAACTAAGGTTAGAAACACCTGAAAGTTGTCTACCTCTCCTACAAAACAAAACCAGTACCCATTCTCTACACCCCTGGGGGGGGGGGCACAGAGATCAACCTGGCCAGATTTAAGCTAATGAATAAAGCAACGCATATTGCTCAAGTGAAATCTGACTAAAGCTGCAGTGTTTCAAATTTTGTTCAAGTCCTTATAACTGTAAAGCCAGCCCTACCTTTCAATCCATGAAGAAAGTAACTGCAAAGACATACTTGAGTATGAATATTGATAACGAAAGTATAGGATGATACCCTGTTACAAAATCCAAGAAGAACAAAGTGAACGTTGGTTGTCCCAGGCAGGTTGTATAGACAAGGGCCCAAATGGCCCTGGCATGACATAACTTACACAATCTTGAAATGATTTTAATATTCTTAGTGAGGCAAACGCAGTTAAATATCAATACCTCGCTTCTGTTAGTAGCACCTCTCTTTTTAAGATTTTATTATTAAAATCATTTAATTCATTTCTATGGCTTCAACTCCCCAGACAGTCCCTAAGTAGGCAAGGGCAGCCTGGCTTCAGCTTTGCATTTCTTACTGTCTAGTGATTATCTCTCCACTCGGATGGGCCTCTGGCATCTTACAGGTTCCGAACCCAACGCCCTCCCCCTTTCTGGTCCAGGAGGGTCACATTTCCTGAGGTTTCACTGCAGTCTGAGGTAAGGCCACTCCATACACGGTCTCCACACTCCTCAGGCCTCTTCCCCTACCGACTCCAATTGGTCTCCTGTCTGAAAACACTTAAACCACACTTCAATCAACAGGGTCAGATCAACACTCCTCAACGCCACCCCAAAAAGATCCCATAAAATCTCTAAAAGCTCCCTGCCTGGCACAAGAGACCTCCGTTTTTTGTGAGGCCTTACCTACCCTTCCCTTCTCGGCTCAGGCTGCCCACTGCTTTAAGGCTAGCTCTTCTCATACTGTGCCCTTCAATAAGCCCCTCCTTTAGTGAAAGCCAGAGCCATGCCTCTCTGTCCCAGCCACTCTGCGCTGTACCCAGATTTCCCTCCTACCCTCCAAATCCAGGACTGGTGCCCGGCAACCCCCCACCCTGTCAGACTTGGCATATTATTTACTTGAATAAATATTAAGTGAACACTGAGAAAACAACTATCTCATACCTTAAAATGTAATTATACTAGATTTTTCTCCAGGATAAGAGAGAGAGGAGCTAAGCAGAAGAGAAAAAAAAAAAATTGTTGCGGGATCAAATTAGTATTTAGTATTGCCACAGTGATGAGATGGCCTGTAATAATCTAACACCTTTAGAATATCCTAAATTCACTTCTCAAATCCAAAGTGGGCGGTATGTAGGCTAAGTAAAACTTATGCATTAATGGCTGCTAGCAGTACTCTGTACATGGCTTTTTAGTAAAACTGGGAGAGGAAGCAAACTGCACTTTTCTTACACTCCACGCCTGTGGGACTGTAATCCATCTGCCTTCTTTTGTTGCTATTCTATTACTTTCTTTTAAAAACAGTCACGCTGGTTTGGGCTGTGGTGGCACACACCTTTAATCCCAGTATTTGGGAAGCAGAGGAAGGAGGATTTCTATGAGTTTGAGGCTAGCCTGGTCTACATGGAAACCCGTGTCTCAAAACAAAACAAAATAAAAAGCAGTCACGTGATATCAACAGCACACTGCACTGGGCTTGCTGAGGTGAACTCACATGCGGGTCTTGAAAGTATTCGCTTTGAAAGTGTTTAGCACACAAAGCCAGGCTACCTTAAGGCTGTAGCCTGGATATGCTTACCTTGCCGCGAGCTCTCACTGCTCTATCTCAGGAGCAGTCCACGAGAGGAGGAGGGGCACATTTTTGTCGCGCAACTCATCCAGTTCTGCCCAGTGCTTCCTCATTTAAGAGTGTGATGTAATTTCCTCCTTTCAATCTGGTTCTGGAACCTGATTTATGTTTATTCGGAATGATAATTGGCCTTTTCAGCCGCATTTAACAATCACCTACCTACCTACTTCTGGGACCAGGGAGCACATAATGTAACTATGTAACAAAATCTATCAAAAGAAACCGATCAGATACTTGACACATGCTATGACTTTTGATCTTCCTGAATCTACCACTGTCTGCGTTTAAAAAAAAATAAATAAATAAAAAAAGTCTGATCACCTCGGAGAGAAAATGGAAATCAGTTTTATTGTCTGTTTTATGGCCCTTTACTAATAATCTGAGAAAAATGACTTAACGTCCACCTGCGCGGTCAGCATTCTTGTAGTTGTGCGGGATCTAAAATGTGTCACACTTCTGGTCATCTGGCTGTACATCATGACCATGTGTCTGTCTCCCTGGTTATGGATGTGGTTCTGAAGGTGACTGCCAAATGTAGTGTCTACTTCCCTGAATCAAGCAGGTGGCGTAACCTGCACGTATATGCAAGCAGGACAGTCTGCACGGATATTTCAAAGCAAAGGCCTGAATTCAAAGCTCCTCCGATTTTATCTTAAAAGCTAGGACTTGGAGATAGGAAAAGAAAGGCAGCA